GCCTAGGGACTACCCCCCAGGCCCCCCACCGCCGCTGCCACCGCCGGCGGGCTCAAAGGACTACCCCCAGCCTCCCGCGCAGAAACCCTGACCGCCAGCGTCTGGTCCGCAGCTCCACGGAATGGACTCCAGCGCCCTTCTTGCGGTCAGGATTTTAGGAAATGGCTCTCTCTTTGAAGCCGTTCGTCTCACTTCGGTATATTTCGGCTTTTGCGGGATTAATTTTTATCCAATTGCTACAGACATCTTATGTGCATTTATGATCACCTTAAACTCATCCATCCTCTTGGGCTGCAAGAACCGTTTTGTGATGGACTCAAACCTACTCTAAACGTGCAATAGAAAGGAAGTACCTGTGTGGCTAGTTTTAATTAAATGTAGCCTCTGTAACCAGTTGGTGAATGAACTAATTTCGTGAAAAATGTAAATCAGATCATTTCCTGTGGAAATAATTTTTAAGTAAAATGCTATCCTACCTGCCTTCTCCATCACATCATTAAGCTGCAGTTACTGTAGGCCGGGGGTTACGTGAGGACTGTGAGGTGGCTCCTTTTTTTTTTTTTTTTTTAAAGAGATGTAAAGCATCTCTGGTCAGAGATCAGAAGCACAAATGACACTGTATTCAAAGGAAAGTTATAATAAAAAGCAAAATTTCTTTTGCTAAACCCTGAAGGCTTTGTTTCAGTGTCATTTTTTTGTTCAGAAAGGACAGCAGTTCAGTAGTTTAGCCAAAGAACGTCACAGCTGTGCTGACCATGTTCAGGAATTGAATCGAGGCTGAGTAGCTGCTGCTGCGAGATTGATGACTGAGTTGCCCTTACACTGAGCCGGTCAGGCACGTAAGGGCAAGGGGGGAGTACAGCCTTCCTCAGCTGCAGGGCTGGTGGGGGCTGGGGGGTTCTACAACAATTGCTTTTTCCTTTCAAGACGGGCTTGCAGTAGTAAGCAAGGCTTGAGAGTGGACTTCTTCATCTTACTCAGTATTTAAGATGGATTCAGCTTCCTTAGCGCTAAGGCTTTATTTTTACAGCCTTTTCCACTCGCTTACATTAAAAAAAAAAATTTCCATAAAGCAGAGTGGGTGTATGTAAACCCTATTAACCTGTATTGCTTTACATCTGTTTGTGTACACAGAACATGGGACAGCTTTAAAAACACCCCCTGCACTTGTAGATGCTCAAAGAAGTCCCTGAAGGCATTAATTCAAGGATGAGTATGTAGCACTTGGCAGAGCAGGCCCCTTCTCTAGACACTAAGGTTCTTCAGAAGTGCTCTGTACAAAAGTAAGCAAGGAGAAAACAACTGGGAATAATAAAAATACCCCTACTGAGAGGCCATTACAGCTTTACTGCCAGAGTACAAGCAGCCATTACACTTGGCATGGAGGTGTTACATTCTTACAGTACAAGTATTAAGCTTTAGACTTAAGATGAAAGACACAGAACATCACTAAAGCATAAAATAATACAAGAGCTTGTGTGGCGGGGAGTAGTAGTCCTCTCGGTGAAAGACAGTTCACAGAAAATGCAAAGGAGAGAAGCATCTTCAAAAATGATATTTCACACTCCACAGCCATGAAGTCACAATGAGTTAAATACAAAGCTCTACTCATGTATTTAACAAAAATGCTTCGAAGTTGACATTTCATATGACTGGAGTTAATACAAACATCTGCAAGCTGGGGCAGGGTCAAGGCAAGCAGCTGAAACAAGGAAGTGTTTGGTTGCAGGGTAGCTAACAACACCCACACCGATGAGCACGCATGTGTGACACTTCGGTTCTCCAAGCTGAGGAGCTCTGGGATGCTTCCTTGGCACCTCATCCCTCGCCCACCCCATCAGCAGGTGGCATCACCCCCAGGGAGCGAGCAGAGGGGTTCTGGGAGGCTCAGGCCTGCCTGACCGCAGCGCTCTCCTGGCCAGCCCGCAGGGGACCCAGGGGCAGCAGAGCCAGGACAGAGCCCCACAGCCACCCATCGCAGGGGGTCACGGTGCTGTGGAGGCAGAGGAGGAGAGCCAAGCCAGCCAGGGACCCCAGGCTGCTGACTGAGCTGGGATTCACAGCCACAGACCAATGCATTGCTCCATCCTTTTCCAGAGTTCAAAGGATGATTTTTATTTAAAGAATTTTTGTATCCTCCTTTTGGGTGGTATCCAAATGGTGCATTCAGAGGTATTTCCATACCTGAGGGATATCTTTCCAGGGCTTGGTATTCAACACATCAATCAGCTGTAGTACCACTGGGGTATTGTAAAGATGCACAAACAGAAAAATTCAACTGCATTTTTCTTTTCTCCTCCCCTGAGAGGAAGTGTGGCTGACTTTTGTCACAACACCTCAATAATTTCATCCCTCTTTATGCCAGAACAGAGGGAAAGCATGAAAATTAGGACATCCAAAAATAGGTTTTTATCCTAATCAATATGGTAAAGCCAAAAATGCTGAACACCTGGCTGCAGACAGACAAACATGACAAGGAAAAGGAACATCCTTCCCATCAAAGCATGATGTAACAGCGTAGGGTTACATGACACAAAGGAGGCCCTGGTGAGACATCTGCATCCAGACTGTTCAGAATAAACATACCTGACACTATTCTGGGAGCTGGGTCTTTTGTCAGCATAGCAGAGCAATTAGGCACTAGTTAGATACGCGAGAAGTATATCAAACCTTAAAGTATTGTATTAAATATCCACGCAAATATATGAAAGATTTGACTGGGTTCTACTTCTGACCCTTTATTCGGTCAAAAGGGGAATGCAAGTGTGTCGTAATAAGCCAATGTCCTGCAGCTTATTACACACCAGATTAAAAATATAGAAAATAAATGATATTCCTATCTACTTACTTACATAAAAAGGCAATTTTTAGACTAAGTTTCCAGACTTGCACCGCATACAATCAGTTTCCATAAGAACAGCAGTTTCAGGTGAAAGGTGGGTCAGCCCGCTAGCCAGATCGACTGTAGCAACAGCTCTGGAGAATTGACACTCGAACGCCGAGGGGCCTGTCCTGCTGTCACGAGGATGAAGCCCTGGAGGAAGGCTCTCTCCAGCCCCCATCCACCTTTGCAAATCACTCTGTGACAAGATACAGAAAAACTACCTCTGACGGTTAGGGAGTAACAGCGATTTAAAGGACTGTAACATCTATCCTATCCAAAACTCGGGTACCAGTGGACCAGGCAGGGCTGTTCCATCCTAGTTCAGCGTTCTCATCTGCAGTTGTCCTCCTCCCGGCCCGACCAAAGCAGAACAGCCCAGGAGGAGCTCTGCTGTGGCCACCCCACCTGACCCAGCACCCTCCTCTCTCTCACTTTGAACCACTCGCAGTACTTCGAGCTCCTTCCTGCCCCACCTCGTCTTTCTCCCAGTCTTCTTCTGCCACCCAGCCTGCTACAGAGGACTCCGAAATGCAGATGAGAGGAACTACAATAGCACAGCAGTGTAAACAGGTTAGCAGGCCTGCCACATCTTTATTGCTACAGGTTTGGCAAAGGGGCAGTCTCCATCCTTGGGTGGAGTTTGAGGCAAAAGGATAATAACGGTTAAGATAAAAAGTGATGAACAGCAAAATTAGGAAAAGCAGTCAACACGTTTCAGGGCTCTCAGAAAAACCTGTATCTGGAAGGTACTGAAAAAGACTTGCGCTTGAGTGGTGGGCTTGCCTCCGGCCCTGAAGTAGTGCTGTGTGGTGTGTGATGGTCCCGTCCGACCTACTGGCGTGGATACAGTCCTGCTCCTGCCCCGAAGGCTACGGCTACGACACACAGCTACCATGACTCGTGGTTCAGTTCACAGAAGTCTCACAACTCGGGTCATTCCTTGTGCAATGTTTGATGGAGGTGAAGGTAAAGTGGTTTCTTGGTCAACAGTTGCAATTTCTTCCTTTTAAAGTCAGTGGGTTTTTTGTACCTGTAACCCCAAGAAAGTAAGTTAATCCAAGTGCTAATGGCTGTGCAGGAAGGTGAAAGCACACTGGAAAGCTTGTCCTGTACAGCTCTTATTACCATAATCCTTTATATACATCTGACAAGACTTACTGGAAGGAACAATAATTAACAGATTTACAGGAAGAAACTCAATCCAGTATTTTCTCTGTATTATTGTTTTAACAAAACACAGATTTCAATTTTTATATGAACATCAGGTTTTTGTAAGAAGAATTCATGACGTAGTACTCCGAGCCGCAGGAAGTGCAGTAGCTCCTAGTTCAGTACTCAGTATGCCCGTACTGCAGTGGTACTCCCACCAGCACAGACGAAGCACTCTTCCTAGAGATGCCCCGAATTGCAAGCTTCGCCCTCCTCCTGAAAAAAGCGCTCAAAAACCTCACCCCGACCTTCAGCCCCGCAGTAAGGGCAGGATGCACACCACAACCACTGCGGCATCACCGACTAATCTATTTCTTTGTCTATTTAGAGCGGGGGAAAAAAAACAACCACCCAACAATGCTCTGACATCTTCATAAAATTCAATTGCAAATCAGTGTCCCGTGTCTCCAATCACTTCTACCTTACAGAAGTTCTGTATCAGAAGATTGTGGGCGTTGAATTTTTAATTTTTTTTAAATACAGCTGCTCTGACACTCAAGCTAAGGTCAAAATTAAAATCTGTCATACAGAATTTGTTAACTTCATATAAAATTTAATTGCAAACAGCAGCATTTCATTTGGAAATAGTTATTTTTTGAGAAAGGTCTCTAACCATTTTGTCTAAAAGCACATAATTTTCCCTTCTTTATTAAAAATGCAATGTTCCTTACAGAAATCAATCTAACGAGTCCACAAAACCTTCCTTGATGCAACAAGCCACCCATTGTAACCAAAGTCTAGTTCATTTCCTCTGCCATTAGCATCTGTAATTGCAAGTCACTTACAGTTCTATAACAATTGCCCCAGGTTTAATTTCATCCATCTCCATGAAAGCAAAGCACTTGGTGCTAGTAAACCTTTTCTTAGGCTTATAGTGTTTGAATTCGAAGAAAATAGCTGCACCTAGAGAGGAAAATGGTTTAATAGAGAAGTTAGCAGTTACGGCCAACAGTTATTTGAAAACTTTTCTGCCATTAAGATGCTCTACAGACATTGGAGGGAATTATCTCCAACACTTCTGTTACTTACTCAAAAGCTACACCATGTTCTTACAATGCTCCTCAC